GTTGGGTAAGGACATGGAGGCATGCCCCATGCCCATTGAGAATATTGGGCCCAAGGGGGGAGTCGATTATTTTGGTTGTTGAGAACCCACTGAAGTACCAGATTGGCCGCCACGCCCTCTTCCTCTCCCCCTGTAATTTCCACGACCGCCCCGTCCACGATAAGAGGTGTTGTCGGACTGGTTGTCGGTAATAGTGGTGTTATTGACTGGCGGTGGTGTTGTTGTGTTAGCAATAGCAGAGGATGACCCCAAAGGGTTCAATTTAGTGTCGGTGTTGGTGGTGGAAAGAAGAGCAGTGGATGATTGATGTGCTTTACGGTTTTCTTCAAGTATCAATTTTGACCTAGCCTCATAGAACGGTGGTAGGGGATTGCTTTGTTGTATTATCGTTGCTACATTATCGTAATTGGAATTCAATCCTGATATGAGTTGAAGAACAAGACGGTGTTCGGAGACCGGAGAGCCGACATTCAACAGTTGATCAGCAATGTTTTTAAGTTCTTGACAGTAAGCAGAAACGTTAGTGAAGTTGTCAAGTTTAAGGTTGGTGAATTGATGTTCCAGGTAGAGAGCTCTAGAGTAGGGGTGAGCATTTGGACCGAACTGGACCGGACCGGACCGGACCAGCTCTTGTACCTGACCGGTTATGGAGAATATTGTGGACCGTGGACCGGACCGGATGAATCGTTTCCGTGTCCGTGTGCGGGTCCAGGTCCGGGTTTTCTGGTTCTTGGACCCGTTTGGACCGGTACAACTTTAATTGCATAGAGTACAAGTCGTTAAAATAAGTTTTCGGGTTTGATAGAACTCGTTAAAACGAATATGTTATTAGGTTTGATACGATACAACTTGTAAAAATGATTACGTTTCCGTTTCATGCATAACTAATCCACATTGATGTTATAATATTATAACTTACAAAATTAATTTTCCAAATAAAAGCAACTAACCTATAAATCAAGTTCACCAAGATCCCTTTCATATGATTTATCTGTCAAATATACATAAAATTCAGAATTATAGTCTAAAATAATAGTTAAAAAGTTGAAATATTTCAGCTTTGATAGCTCAACTTTGAAGGATTGTAACTCACTGAATATAATACCAAAATTAGCAAAATTATAATCTAAATTCATCTACAAACTGTAAACTAAATGTTGGAAAAAACCGCAGGTCAATCCGACTTTAGACGAATGAGTTATGGTTGTTTAAAAAATTTCACAAATTACAAAATTTTAAAAATGTTGCTGAAAAGCTGAAAATTTTCAGCTTTAATAACTCAACTTTGAAAGACAGTAACCCATTGAATATAATACCAAAATCAACAACATTATAGTCTAAGTTCATCTACAAACTGTAAATTAAACGTTGAAAAAAACCGCGTGTCAATCCGACTTAAAACGAAAGAGTTATGGTTGTTTAAAAATTTTCACATATTACAAAATTTTAAAAATGTTGCTGAAAAGCTGAAATTTTCAGCTTTGATAGCTCAACTTTGAAAGACTGTAACTCATTGAATATAATATCAAAATCAACAAAATTATAGTCTAAATTCATCTACAAACTGTAAATTAAACGTTGGAAAAAACCGCGTGTCAATCCAACTTAAAACGAAAGAGTTATGATTGTTTAAAGATTACAATTTTTTTTAAATCGGGTCCAACCGGTTCTAAACCCGGTAAAAACCGGGCCGGACCGGGAAAAAAACCGAACCGGTTTTGATGGATTCCTAGAACCGAGAACCGGCCCGTGGGTCCAAAAAAACGGTCCGGTCCGGTCCGGTTCACCGGTCCACCGGTCCAAATGCTCGCCCCTACTCTAGAGTTCTTGTTGTCCTGGAAGATGTTTGCAAGAGTTTCCCAAGCCTCTTGTGCATGGTTGAAGAATAGCGTGAAGCAAATCATGGGAGATAGTGCTATAGATCCATTGTAAAACAATGGCATCGAGACGGGACCATTGCGCTGTGGCGGCGGCGGTAGCGGCGGCGGCGAGATCAGTCGGTGGAGGTGTTGTTGCAGTTTGTTTTGCGGGTATGATGTGATCAATGACCTGGTAAGCTCTGCAATGTATTTTAAAAAGAGTTGCCCAGGAGGTGTAATGTCCTTTTTCCATCTCTAAGGTAATGGGGATTACGTTTTTGATATTGGAAATAGTAAGGGTTGGATGAATTTTGGATTCAGTAGCCATGGTAGAAGGAATGAGAATAAAAGAAAAAAGAAAAAAGAAAATAGGACGATAGAGGAGAAAAGAAACAGATAAGAGATGGATGGTAGGGTAATTAAGAATCAAATTTCTTTGATACCATGAAAGAAGCTTATTGTTCGTAATCAATTCTCTCATTATGTGAATGATATAGATAATACAAATAATTTTTTTATGAAAGGAAACTATAATCACACTAGGATTCTAAAAACCAATGTTTTAAAAACCGGTTTTTTAGTTGAACTGGTATGGTTACCGATTCTCGGTTCAACCGGTTTAACCGGTTCGACCGTCGGGTTAACCGGTTCTATAATTTTCATATTTTTTCCTATTTTCCTACACATACATACATATATAAATCATGAATTTGACGTTTACTAGTTCAAACATTATAAATATACACAAAAATAAGTTGTAGATCAATCCAAATACATTAAAATAACACGTAACCATAAGTTTTAGTGTATTACATCAATCCATATACGTCAAAAAGAAAATAAAATATAATACCGTAACAAAATATAGTTTTAGATGAATACAAACACATCAAAAAAAACTTTATAAAATTTACCATATGTTTTTATTTAGAGAAAACTAAATAGATTTGAAAAAAAAATTCACCAAAGATTTTATTCAAATGGTTTTTTCCATGTGTTTTTATTCGCTTTAATCGGTTTATTTTGACCGGTTCAACCGGGTTTTTTCTAAAAACCGGCCGGTTCAATCCGGTTTAGAAATCGACATAAAACCGGTGATAGTTGAACAGCTCTCTCCTACGGTTCCCGGTCGAACCGGTTCGACCGGCCGGATCAAACCGGTTTTTAAAACATTGCTAAAAACTAGCTGTCATGTGCATATCTTTTTATCAGATGATTATAATAATAGTATATCTAATATCTAATATTGTGATTGCATTCTAAAGAGCAAACTGTTATCACAATGTGTATTTTTCCTAACTAACTACTTATTTCCTTGGCTTCCTTTTTATATACAATTTCAATTGTTGTTAAAATCCCATCAACATTTACATCTACAAGAAAAAATAATCAATATGAGTGTTTGGAAAAAGCATTTTATTTATTGTTTTTCAGATTCGCTTATCACTGCATTTGTGAGGAAAATTATGAACTAAAATCGAAATTGAAGAATTCTCAATCGGATAAGAGGAATAACAAATTACATAATAAATCAATAATCTAACACTTGATTTTGAATTTTTGAAGTCAAAGCCGATGATTATGGAGAGCGAAATGAATGACACATTATAAGGAAGCGAGAAGCTCAAACTGGAAATCAAGAAAATGGACTGTAAAAGTTTTTTAGTTGGTTCTAAAAGTGAATCCTTTTTGAATGTTGGTCCTTGTTTATATGGTTTTTATGAATGATCCAAAAAGGGACCTTTCAATTATGCTCCTTATTGGAAATTTTCATCATGATTTTCATCCCTTAAACGAACAGTAGTAACATATAGCCTTTAAATTACATTTTTGTTCCCTCTTTATAGTTGCTTTTTCAAAATTAGGTCCAAAAAATTTGTTTTTTTTAATATATATATATATATATATATATATATATATATATATATATATAGACAGGTATCATCAAATGTTTTTAGAATATGTAAACTTTATCTAACATAAACAACTAACGTCAAATGGTTTGGAAAAACAAAATTTCAATTACAAACTTTCAATTACAAACTTTCAATTTATAAAATAGTTGCTTAATACAATGTGAAAAATAACAACCTACTTAAAAATTTAAAAGAAAACAAGCAAACAAAATAAACAAAATAATTATATAACAATAATACCTTTTATAACTTGGTTATACCTTATCAACTATACAAACATTGGGAAAAATACACAAAATGGTAACATACTTCAATGTATGTTATCAATACAAACAAAAAGGATCACACTACTATGAAAAAAGAATAAAAACATTATTTTTCGTCTAAATCAACAAAATTTAACTCATTTAAAATTCTTTGAGACCATAAAATGACAAAATTTAACTCATTTAAAATTCTTTAAGACCATAAAATGTACGTCATTTTTAAATTTCTACATTACTTGCAATGGAATGTACATTCGGCATTGCAAATGACCAGCTCAAAGAATAATTGTAAAATTCAATGACATGACACTCCATGTCAAAGAAGATGTTAAAACCAAATATTTTTTAAAAAACTTTGTTTTAAAATCGCTATAAACTAATAAGTTATAAATTAAAAAGTTAAACATTTTTAATAAGTTTAGTCAATCACTCTCTAAATATGATATTTAAAACTTATTCCGGATAATATAAATTTTAATATTAAATAGGAGCATATACGAAATTTTAGGATTCTCCCTAAAATGGGGAAAATATGTGCAAGAATAAAAAATAATCGTCTGTAAATTGAGATTATTAAAAACGTTTTTACAACATCATAATAAAATTAATTATCCATAAAAATAAGAGGGTGTTTGGCGAAGCTTATTAAAGACTTATTTTTTATAAGCTCATTTTTTTAGTTTATTTTTCATGAGATCGGTTAAAGCCATAAGAAGGTCTAAGTTGGAAAAAAAGTCAAAAAAAAAAAAAATAGGCTTATAAAAAATAAAGCCAATGATAACCTTACACAAAGGTCACAAAAGTAAACCAAATTGTACAAAAAACAATGCACAAAGTACTACTATTATTATTTAGAAAACAAGCCCAATCGCGTTACATCAACAAGTACAAGAAAGAGTACAAAATATACGCAAATACCTTCACGATTCCTCCATCTCCATCATCATCAACATTCGACCCTAATCAACCTCTTCAATCTTTGGCCCGGCGCCACCGCTAGCTCCGGCACCACCTTTAGCCATTCCCTCACCCATCGGCACATCACCACCACCACCGGCCTGATACATTTTCGCGATAATGGGGTTACAAACCCCTTCCAACTCTTTCAATTTGTCCTCCAGCTCATCCACCTCCGCCAGTTGATTCTTCTCCAGCCACTCCAACCCATCGTCCACCGCCTTCTCAATCCTCTGCTTATCCTCCGCCGCTAGCTTCGACGCAAATTTCTCATCCCTCACCGTGTTCCTCATATTGTAGGCGTAATTCTCGAGGGCGTTCCGCGCATCCACCTTCTTCTTCACCTCTTCATCCTCCGCCTTGTACCTCTCTGCTTCCTGCACCAGTCGCTCGATCTCATCTTTGCTTAATCTCCCCTTGTCGTTGGTGATTGTGATCTTGTTCTTAACTCCGGCGGTCTTGTCCTCTGCGGAAACGTTCAAAATCCCATTTGCGTCGATGTCGAAGGTGACATTGATCTGAGGAACACCTCTCGGAGCCGGAGGGATTCCGCTGAGCTCGAATTTTCCGAGGAGGTTGTTATCTTTAGTTCTTGCTCGTTCCCCTTCGTAGACTTGTATCAACACCCCCGGTTGATTGTCGGAGTAAGTCGAGAAAATCTGTTCTTTCTTCGTCGGAATTGTTGTGTTTCTCGGAATTAAAACAGTCATGACACCGCCGACGGTTTCTAGACCCAGGCTTAAAGGAGTGACGTCGAGGAGGAGGAGGTCTTGGACTTTTTCATCTCCTTCTCCGGTTAAAATCGCCGCCTGGACTGCTGCGCCGTATGCCACCGCCTCATCGGGATTTATACTCTTGCAAAGCTCTTTACCGTTGAAGAAATCGATCAGAAGCTGCTGGACTTTTGGGATTCGGGTGGAGCCGCCGACGAGAACCACCTCATGGACGGAGCCTTTATCGATTTTGGCATCTTTCAAGCATTTCTCCACCGGATCCATACATTTTCTGAACATATCCATGCATAATTCCTCGAATCTAGCGCGAGTTATCGTGGCATAGAAATCGATTCCTTCGAACAAAGAATCAACTTCAATGGTGGTTTGGGAAGAAGACGATAATGTCCGTTTCGCCCGCTCACACGCCGTCCTCAGCCGTCGCAGCGCCCTGGCGTTGCCACTGATATCCTTCTTATGTTTCCTCCGGAACTCCGTCACAAAGTGATTCACTAAACGATTATCAAAATCTTCGCCGCCCAAATGGGTGTCGCCAGCGGTGGACTTCACTTCAAAAATCCCTTCTTCAATCGTCAACAACGACACATCAAACGTCCCACCACCCAAATCGAAAATCAAAACATTCTGCTCACCTACACGCGACGACTTCTTATCCAAACCATACGCAATCGCCGCCGCCGTCGGCTCATTGATAATCCTCATAACATTCAACCCAGAAATCGCACCGGCGTCCTTCGTAGCTTGCCTCTGAGAATCATTGAAATACGCCGGAACAGTGACGACAGCGTTTTTAATAGTTTGACCCAAAAACGCCTCCGCAGTCTCCTTCATCTTTACCAACACCATAGACGAGATCTCCTCCGGAGCAAACTGCTTCTGTTCGCCTTTATAATTAACAACGATCATCGGCTTCTCACCGGGGCCGGAGATAACTTTAAACGGCCACAACTTCATGTCGCTCTGAACAGAAGGATCAGTGAACCGCCGCCCAATCAAACGTTTAGCGTCGAATACGGTGTTTTGTGGGTTCATCGCCACCTGGTTCTTAGCGGCGTCGCCGATCAACCGTTCAGTATCGGTAAACGCGACATAAGAAGGGGTGGTGCGGTTGCCTTGATCGTTTGGAATGATCTCCACGCGGTCGTTCTGCCATACCCCGACACAACTATAAGTTGTACCAAGGTCTATTCCAATTGCTTTATCCTGCTTGGCCGCCATAGATAAACTGAAAAAAGCTTCCAAAATAGAAGTAAGATCACTTGAAACAGTGCCTTTTTTTGATCGAAAACTTGTTGGATTGTTGTTGTTTTTCGTTTGCAGTTGAAATCTGATATGGGTTTTGGAATTGGGATTTGAGATTTTATAGGTGAGATGACTTGAGATCAAGATATATTGCGAGAAATTTCAAGAAAGGCAGAGGAAGTAAGAAGAAGGATACGAGATTGTTCTGGAGGCGGGAGAGAAGAGTGCAATACCGAAAGTACCCTTCTTCCTTTGCTTGCCTCTTAGGGGTAGTTTTGGGAGTTTAGGGGATATGACGTTATGGGAATGTGTTTGTGGTTGATACGAGATGATTCCGGAGGTTGATGAGAAGCGGAAATTACGTAAGAACCCCTGTGCTGAAGTGGAATTTACTAACGGGTTAGTTTTGGGAGTTACTACGATACGACGATACGTAAAAATGTTGTGGGGTAATGAGGTGGCAGAGTTGCCTAAAGGTAAGTGTACACGTGGAATTCTCAGAAAATCTACAACCTGCTAGAAGACCCTTTCTTTCTTTAGCAAAGTAAAATAAGTTTCGATACATACTAAATCAAAAATATCAATGTGGGAAACATGGACTTCAAGGTCGAGATCATAGAGCACTTAAGCTTGTATTATTCATCAATCATTGATTTTTATATTTTATTATTCATTAATTAGTTATTTATTTATCATTATATAATATATAATTTTCACCCATATTTATAATATTTTTATTTTATCTCCATAATAAAATGGCCTATCTATATTTTTATTGTTCTTTACTAATTAATCTAAGTAACTAAATATACAAATTAAAATTATATCTTTAACCAAATTAATAAATAACACCCTATGATCTGAGGAATAAGGTGTATTTGGAAATATGCATTTTAGGTCATTTCCAATGCATTGAATTCATTGAACTCTTAAGAGTTCAATGGATTGTCACATCAACATTTCATTAACTATATTATTTAACCTATTAAACTCTACATTCCATTAAACTCTTAAGAGATCAATGGATTTTCACATCATCTTTTAATTTTTTTTTATAAATAATATTAATAAATAAAACTAGAATATTACATTAATTAGAAATTCAAAGTTACAATTACTAAATATCATGGTTGCAGAAATCGGGATTAATCGACGATTAATCGTGGATTAATCGCTTCGTGTTCTCCAACCGTTGATGATTAGAGTATTAATCGAAAATTTATGATTAATCGGGTTTGGCGAGATTAATCGGTCTTGGTGGGATTAATCGGTCAACAAAAGTCAAAAAAATAAAAAAAAAAGTAAAAAAGGTCAAAAGAAATTTAATTTTTTTTAACAAAATCAACTTTTTTTTTTACTCCAAAATATTCAAAATTTTCAAATTTTCAAATATTATACCAAAATGTTCATATTTTCGTATTTTCAAATTACAAATTTTCTTATTTTCTAATTTTGAAGTACTTGTTTTTATTAAGATATATTAATATTTGATTAATTTTAATATTTTATTAATAATATTTAGTCCCCGATTAATCCCTGATTAATACCCGTCAAGACCAATTAATCTCTTAACACCAGTCGATCGTCGAGCTACCATCGAGCGATTTTAATAACCTTGCTAAATATTAATTAAAGATTACAATTTAGAAATTAAAATAAAGTATAGATCAAAATAATAATAATATATAGTTTGTTTATTGTAAAAAAAATGTTAAATGTTACTTTCAATATAAGTTTTTATAGTAAATTGAGAAAGAAAAACAAAAAAAGAAAAAATAAGTTTTTATAGTAAGTTGAGAAGGAAAAACAAAAAAAAAAGAAAAAAAAAAGCAAATCCTATACCACCGTTAAATGGGGGATTAAACCCCCCATTCATTAAACCCATCCCACAATGCATATTTCATCCATTCAACTGCCACATCACCACATTTTCGTCATTAAACTCCCCATGAAATTCCCATTAGCGATGGCCTTAGCCCATTTGTTTATGGTTAAGTCAAGTTTGAAATAATAACATAATTTATGTGTACTCTGTTCTTTTTAAATGATAAATAATACGAATATGATATTACTCGTGTACCAACCCAACAAGGTATACTCTAGTTTGGTGCCCTAAACACAAGGAATGGCGACATGGTGTCTGAGGTGGGACGCGGCACAACTAGATAACCAACCAAGGTTAAAACTCGACTAAAGAACCAATATGTTCCGACATAAACTGAAACACTTCGTGACAACAAGTCCACTACAACCAGCATGGGATCATGCGTCGTCTATGGTACTGCAAAAAATCATAATACCTTGTACGAAATGGGTAGACCTCATCTCCTATAACATCAATATAAATATCATCATGATGGAGGTCTTAATAAGCAATCTTTACTATCTCGTTCTTACTCTCAAATCACTTTTATTACTCTCTTGAGTTTTCACCTTCTAACTTGGTCCCTTAGAGGAATGCTTATATAATTTTTCATAATCAAATCATTTCCAATAATGTCCTTTCATAAATGCACATATAGTTCACATAACAATCGAGTCTTACATATATGAAAATCAATAAAACTCATTAGAATCACAAAAGTAAGGTAAATGATATGTGTTCCCGGTAACTCACCCCAGTCCAATGCTAGAAATATCACACTCACCTTTACTTAAACAACACCTTTTCACACTTATGCATTCAAGTCATCACCTAGAATCATCATCATAAGGTGTCAAAGATTAAAATACCCTTCAATGGTCCAACTCATGAACCTAAGCTCAAAACACTCATTAGATTTCTTATTATGAACCATGGAAGACAAGGGAAACCAGAAGAATGACCAAACAAGACACACACAAAATACGAAATGACACATATGCAATTACACGCCACATTCTTCCTTAGAGCGCGTCACGTTTATTGCATGATAAAAAACAGATTTCCATATTTGACTCATCTAGCCATCATGCTTGTCCATAAATCCTTAATACAAATCATTTGACATAATGAGATTTAAACAAAGGTTGATACAATTCAAACAAACATAATAAAGGATCCCCAATGATTAATTTCCTTGGAATAAACATCAAATTCCAAAAACATGTCATAAAGTTCAACTGGAGGTTAAATGAGAGTAAGGAACTCAAATTGCACCAAATCACTATGTGTGAAAGGTAAATGCAACCAACAAGACCAAAAGTAATTGCTATAATTTTAAACACATGGAATTAGGAATTCATGAAGATTATTCACTCATCAATTGAGCTCTAAACTTCATCTGAACTTCAAAGAAACTCGATTTCTCATAGAAGCTTAATAAACACAAATTCAAATATAAACCCATCAAGCGACTTTGGTTTTGGAATAAAATACATCATCTAAGAATGAAAAAAAACTACATATCATCATTTGATTCACCAAATTTGGATCTATGAACCCTAGAATTAAAAATACCCAAATCATCACCATGGAAGCTATATTAGAACCAAATACCAAGTAATCTCACAATAAGTCATAAATTTACAAATATGTCATAGATTTAAAGTTAAATACATTCATTAAGCATGAAATCAAGTTCATATCCATACTAGAAACATGAAATTTGGTTTTCACCATCTAGGGTTAAGAAAACTCATCAAAACAATCTAATCTCCAAATCTCGCAACTATTAGCTAATTAGAGCTTGGAGATGGATTTAGGAATGAAATTGCAACATAAAAATCATAAGAACATCATAAATGGACGGAAAAACTAGAATTTCAAGACCGTATAATTCCATACACAAATTTGAAAGGGAATGGAAGAAGAAACTACCTTTAAATGTCAGATTGTGAAAGAATTTGATGAAGGCTTCACATAGGAACTTTAATCATCAAACCACATCTGGCATCGGGCCCCGCCCGGCATCGAGCAAAGCTCGACATACATATGAGCATAACCACTATTACACAAAATCATAAGCGTAACCACCTAACTATAGACATATAGACATTCCTAGGGCCCCGCCCGACATCGGACCAAAATCCAGAAACATACAAACATTCCTCGGGAACCGCCCCGACATCGGACCGTAGTGCGGAAACATACAAATACATTTACATGCAAGAATCACCAAGACATCAAGCATACTAACAGCCTTTGGGTACCGTCCCAGCATCGGATCGAAATCCGGAAAAACATATAAACCTACATCGGGCCCCGCCCGACATCGGATCTTAATCCGGAACATACTAACATACATAGACGGGTCGGCCTTGGTGCCTTAGACCCGTTCCTACTGGCGGAAAACTCACCTCGTAAAGCTGACAGCTAAATCTCACAGCGAGGAAATCTCTAGTGGCTGCTCCAACGACTCCCCGACTATCATAGTCATAACAACACTTAGTCAAATTTCCATAATCCTTCTTAGGGTAAAATGACCATTTTACCCCTTGGTCTAATTTGGGCCATAACCAAGGTCCAATCCCATCTAATCTCTCCAAGCCCTCTAAAGGCCCAATTTTCTAAATTAGGCCCAACTCCTCAAATGGGCTTTCCCTTTAGCCCAAACATGTCCTTAGTCCATTCTTTGACTTCTGATGGCCCATTAAGGCCCAATAACTGCTATGTCCAAAGATTGGCCCAAACCGAGGCCCAAACATCGCAAGCCCAAACTTGAGAGTACGCGAGGCATACTCTTCTGTACGCTACGCGTATAGCTTGCATGGCTTGTACACTGCACGTTCTGGCGTGTACACCCAGCGTACTACCCTGTTAAGCCATCTTCTTCCAAACTCCTTAATCCCTTATGACATTAAGTCCAAATTACGTATCTGGGTCCATGGACATGTCTCAACTCATAAAGTCGGTTACTTGGTGGCTTGCAACCCACCAAATGAACCCAAACTTGAATTATAACAACTAACTTCCATGGAAATGGCTAGATCTCATGCATGGTTACAAATGGGCTCTAAAGATTGAAACTTTACTGCTTATAGGACAAATTTAGCAC